CATGACCTGAGCTGAAGTCGGCCGCTTAGACTGAGCCACCCAGGTGCCCCATGATTATTTTAAATAAACCTTTTTTTAAATTTGTTTTTTCTTGCTCCTACCCCATAATGTCTGGATTTTATGTTCTTAATCCCTCTTTTGATGCCTTTATCATTTAAATTTTCAAAAATTTTTTTAATTTTTTTTTTTTATTTTGAGAGAGAATGAGAGTGAGTGAGAGAACATGAGCAGGGGAGGGGCAGAGAAAGAGAGGGAGAGAAAATCCCAAGCAGGCTCTGCACTGTCAGCACAGAGCCTGATGCGGGGCTCAGTCTCACAAACGGTGAGATTTTGACCTGAGCCTAAATCAAGAATCAGAGGCTTAACAGACTGAGCCACCCAGGTGCCCCCTTTATTATTTTAATTTAGTTCCTTTACAGTATCTATTTGATTGTTATATGAAGTTCTTTGAGGAGGTTTAATTCAGTTATATGTTTTATCAGCTGACTCTCACTCATGACCACTTCCTTATGTGTTCTGTGAGCTTATTTTCAGCAAGCATTTATTTGTGGTCATCCTTCCAGGGTGTTTTTGTTTGCTTTTGCAAGTCAATATAGAGGTATCCCCACATTGAGGCAAATTCCTATGTTAATTTCTCAGTTTGTAAACTCAAAACCAGGAAAATACTGTGTATTTAATCATCAATGCCATATAAGATTAGGCTTAAGGTTGCTAAATTTCAGTAGAAATGCTTCCCCTAAGCCTCTCTAATTCAGAAACCATGCTTGGATAGACAAGTTTCCTTTTTTGAATTTTCATGTTGTGGACTGGTTTTGTCTACTTCATTTTATTTATCACCCTTTTGCTTAGTTGGAGCCATTCAGGGTCTTGGTTTTATGTGGGAGTCTAGTTCCAGCTTTTACTTGACACAGTACTAGTTTATACCTGTTGTCTTGGTGTAATTTTTGATAAAAACTTTTCTGGCTCTCAAAAGTATCTCAGTTTAGACAATATTTATATAATCTTCTAATCCTTAGTCAAGAATGTACTCGGTATGCTGGAGGAGGAGAAAAGCCAGACTGGCTAATTTGTAGAGGAAAGAATGGTTAGAGAAGAGCTCAGAGAAGAAGGGAAGATGAAGTGCTTTCTAGGTAAGGGAAGGATGTTGAAATTTATTTCAGATGTGATTAAAAGGCATTAAGGGATTTTAAGCCATAGGTTTTTAGGCAGCTCTGGCTGCTTCTTAATTTTACATAGTTATCTAAAAGTATCCCCCATGCCTTGTGTAGTTTAGTGGCCAAATATTTGGCAAGGTTTGCACTCAGATTTGGGGACTCACCATCTCAGTGGTTCTCTTGCTTCCAGGGCTTTCTCCTGAATTTTTAGCTTTTTGGCCAGCCTTGGACTCTATCCCCTGAGATATTAAGCCAACGCATTTCGCAATTTCTGTCAATTTTACAAACATTACTCAGAACAGTTTTGTCATCTGTCATTTAGTGGAAGACTTCCCTATGGTTTCAGCCTGAATTTTGTTTTAACAGAGTCCCAGAATCTTACTCATGTGTGTATAGTGTAATGGTCAGCCAAAATTTGGGGCAGAGTAAATATGCAGATTTGGGATCCCATCCCTTCTGTCATTCTCTTGGTTCCAAGAGTACCACCCCTAAATTTCCATATTATCAGCTATCTTGAGCCAGTAAACCTGTGGTATCTGCCACAAGAATTCTAGTTTGGGGTGAACACCCATTGCTGCTGCCATCTTTCAAGAGTAAATTTTCTTCAAGTTTTTGTCTGCTTTCAGTTGTGCCCCATTGCTTTTCAATAGGTTCAGCCTCCTTCCCTGCCTCCTTCTCCCCCTATCTCTCTAATATATATGTTCAAATTTTATAATAGTTACAAGAAAGTATAACAAACAATTTGGTCTTCTATTACCAAAAGCTGAAACATTTATTGTTATTTTAAATTGTGTTTAGATTAAGAACAACTTTGAAACTTTTTTCATGTTTATTAGCAATTTTATCCATTTTATTATTTTTCAGTAATGTAATTTACCAATTTGTCTATTTGTCTATTTGTTTTGATCTTATTTATAGGTAAGAGTTCCTTATTTATTGAAGATAATAATATATGAACTCATCAGATGTTTTGTGAGACTCAAATGTGTTTTAAAATTTAAGGTTTTGCTTTTATGGTGGTTTTATATTGGCCTTTAATGTTCATATGGGATCATTTAATAGACAAGGCAAAGAGTTTGTTCTTATTAGAGATGCCAGTGCATAGAGAAAGAAACTCTTGCCTTTCCATAAGGCAAAGTCTTGTGGTCAGCTTGTATGATGTGCAGGGCAGTGTTGGCAGTCACCTTTCTAAGCAAAATATTGTCAGATGTATTATTTTCATACTTATGGATCACCATACATTATTTTTCAATCATGATCATTTGCCATACTTACCAGTAAGTACTATAAATAGACTGCTGCTTCTGTGCATTGGAAGAAATCTTGCAAAGTGATTAATACTCGCTAAGGGCACTGTGGGTTGTCACCAGAACTATGTTCAAACATTGTCCTCTCTCTTTTTGTCCCTAGGAGTACACCATTGATGTATTTTTTCGACAGACATGGCATGATGAAAGACTTAAATTTGATGGACCCATGAAGATCCTTCCACTGAACAATCTCCTGGCTAGTAAGATCTGGACACCTGACACCTTCTTTCACAATGGCAAGAAATCAGTAGCCCATAACATGACCACACCTAACAAGCTGCTCAGACTGGTGGACAATGGAACGCTCCTCTACACAATGAGGTTAGAGAGTGGTGCCCCCCCATCTAAAGTATACTGGGGGTAGGACTGGGCTTGAAAGTAGCATGTTTTAAGCTATCCATCAAAGTCTATCAAGTTTACATATTATAAGTGCACATATAGGTATATACTTAACATATTTGCAGGTATACACATTCACAGACATATATATTATAGATACACATATAAATGCAGTTGGACATATGAACATTCTCATATACAGATATATGTTCATGATATATAAATGTATGCATACTCAGAGACACGTGGATTAACACATAAGCATATACATTCAAGGACACTTAAATACACAAACTCATAGCCATATATACAGGCAGAACACTGTGACAGTCATAAGGGACTGTTTAATTGCAGCAACAAACTTCCCCTATGATGCAGAATTGTGAGAATCAAATGAGATAATGATGGATATTTTCTGAACCATACAATGTTATAGATAATATATACACAAAATTATAGCAACACATATTTTATCCCACATTGCCTGGGAATGCTGAGGAGTTTGATGCAAATGAGGTTTTCAAACAAGAATGTTTCTTTTAAATATCATTTATATACTTATACATATATATGTATATATACTTATACATATATATGTATATATACTTATATGTATATGTATGTATAAGCTTATACTTATATATATGTATATGTATATCCTTATATGTAATATATACTTATTACATATATATATATATACTTATATATACTTATATGTATGAGCTCATACATATACATATAAGTATATATACATGTATATTTATAAGTATATATACATATATATGTATAAGTATATATATACACATATATACGTATATATATAAATATGTATAAGTCCATATAATGTACGTATATACATATATATGTATAATTTTGCGTTCAAAAAGAATGACTTTAAAAACATTTTCAGTTCCATAATCTTTGACCCAACACTAAAAAACTTTCTTGATTCTTGTTTTATGTTTTTGCTACCTCCTGTGCTATCAGTTGTTCTGTAGCTCCCTCCCACATTAATGAGTTTCAGTTTTAAGTAACTGAATTAACATTATTGAATGGAAAAATGTGATCCTTCAGTGCAGATTCTGTGGCTGTTTTTAAATTTGAGTATTTGTTATTTTGTACAATAAAACTGAAATAATACAGGCCTGGTAAACATGTAATGAATACACAAAGTATCCTTGCCCATATGCTAGTCCTTAGTTACTTCAAATTTGCTATTTATTGTTTCTCCTGAAAAAATTTGATAGCTAAGAATATAGGCAAAGAAGAATGGATAGCAAATGGATAATTAAGAGAAAAGTTGAATTAAAGAGGAGGAGCTGAGACACTAGAGGAGAGATGAGAATAGAAGCGAGAATGATGGAGAAAAGAAAGAAGGAAAGTGGACATAAAAGGGAAAAAGATGGGACGCCTGGGTGGCGCAGTCCGTTAAGCGTCCGACTTCGCTCAGGTCATGATCTCGCGGTCCGTGAGTTCGAGCCCCGCGTCGTGCTCTGTGCTGACGGCTCAGAGCCTGGAGCCTGTTTCCGATTCTGTGTCTCTCTCTCTGACCCTCCCCCGTTCGTGCTCTGTCTCTCTCTGTCCCAAAAATAAATAAACGTTGAAAAAAAAAATTTAAAAAACAAAGGGAAAAAGAAGATGGAGAGAGGAAGGGAAGTATAATCCAGAAGAAAGGTCAATAAAATTAGCATATATATTTTATTGATCTCTTCCCATAGCTTATATATTTACATATATGTTGTATATATGTTTATATGTGTATGTTGCTCCTGGTTATTAGTATTAACATTCATTTTTGTACTATTAGAATGTAGTGAAGAAAATTGTTGGTATAAAGTGAAAGAAAGAGAGGAAGGACATTGTATACAGAGAAAACCAAGTAAGCAGTTACAGGAAATGGAATGGTTTCTTTCAACAAAAGCAAGATAATGAGGTGGTCAGTTTTTAATTTTATATATGGCACTCTAGTTACTGTGTAAAGGATGTATTTGAAGAGAACAAAACTGGAATTAGGGAAAATGGTTAGTAGATAGCTTAAATAGTCTAGGCAAATGGTAGTGAAATTCTAATTCAGAGCAGCTGATTAAGATGGAGAAGGAGAAATACACTGAAGAAATAGTAAAAATGGCCAATGTTAGAATGACGGGGTGCAGGAGTCAAGGTAGTAAATACCCAAATAACATGGGTGAATGATGGTGCTACAAAATAGGGCAGATCATATAAAACAGGAGAAATTTAGATAGGAAAATCTTTAAGGTTAATTTTGGGCAAGATAAGATTTAAAAGATTGTAGATTATCCAGGGACAAGGGTATAATAGTAGTTAGATATACAAATCTTAAGATTAAAAGACAGATACAAGCTAGAGATGTGAATTTTGGTATTGTCAGCATATTGGGACAACCATGTGAATGGATGTGCTCACTTTAGGAAAGTATGCAGAGTGAGAAAAATCATACCAAGGATCAAATCATGTAGCATCATTATTACAACAGAAGTGGAGAAAGAGGAACCTATGAAGGACCAAGAAGAAAAAGTAAGGAAGGTGTTAATAGAACTCCCAGTGTACAGTATCTTGAAATCTAAGTGTGATAGTCAGTACTGCTACTTTCAGTATTTCCAACTCAAGTCCTTCTGAGTACATGGTAGTATTTTACTTCCATATAGCCTTGCAGTTGGGCATGTATAGGTGACTTTGACTAACCAAATGTGACTGGAAATAACATGTGTCATTTCTGAGGGAGGTTGGGAAACTTTTAAGAGCAGTACATAATTTTCCATGTTCCTCTCCCCTGGCCACAGTGAGTAGCATTATGCCAGGTGGCCTTGACTCTATCATTCTGTGTCCCTTATTGAAGATGTTATAGAAGAGAATGCCCCTCCCCACAACCTGAGATAGACATGTAGTGTGAGTGAGAAATAAATCTCTGTTGTTTTAGGACGCTCAAATTTTAGCATTTGTTGTTACTGCATGTTAATCTAACCTATTTTGACTGATATATCAAAGGAGTAAAGGGCTTCAAAAAAGAAGACAGTGATCAATAATAATAACATCAGTAACAGCTAAGTATAAACGTTAACATCAGTATAGTATTTATAATGTGCTATGGACAGTTCTTATCACTCCACTTTTATAAACTAATGACTTTGTAAGATAGGTACTATTATTTCCACTTTACAGTTGAGGAAATTGAGACAAGAGTGGGTAAGAAAAATTTTAGGATCACCTAGGGAGGAAATGGTTGATCCATCATTCATACTCTGGCAGTTTTGCTGCAAGTTCATCCTCTTTACTATTATTTATACATTTTTACAACATTTTTGATTATTACAAAGAGATCAAGAATATAGAGAATTAAATGTATTAGGTTTGGCAACATAGAAGACATTGGCATTCTTCACATACACTGTTTCAATGTATTATTTAGTGTACTAGTGAGTTTTTAGGAGTTGGCATAGAAGTAGTGAAGATAGTAAATAAAGAAAATACTTTTTGGGAGCTTGTTTGAAAATGAAAGATACATTTGGGGCAAAATAAACAGTTGCTTTTTTAAATGTAGAGACTTGCACTTATTTGTGAGATAGCAGAAAGTGGACATCGGAAAGACAAAGACTGAAGATATGGTAGAAATGGGACATTTCATAGGACAGAGTAGAAATATGAACAGTTATAATGTATGAAGGAGAATTTGGAGAGAATAGAGCATAAGTGCAGAAATATGAGTGACATACTTGTAACAAAGTGCATAAAAGAGAAGGGTTTGAAGAAGAGATGAGAGTGTATACAATTGTGGAGAGAATGAAGCAGACTATATATTAACAGAGGAGGGGATTGTGGAATGAGGTAGTTGGAGAGATGGATGAGGATGATGAGATGTGGATGGGTAAAAATCCATAAGAAAATGAAGAGCAAGTGAGGGGCAGAAGAGGAAATCAACACATGGAGATTGAAGAGAAAGAATAGAGAACGAATGAAGAGAACAGGATAATGGAGAAAGTGAATAATAAAAGAAAATAGAATCGAATATAGGTTTGAGTTTTGGAGGCATGATAGAAAAAAAAGAAGAAAAGACAGGGAAAGATGGGAATGTTGAAATATGAAGAAGATAGAAATATGATGAAATATGAAGATTGAGGAGGGCAGCAGATGAAATAGACCAAAGGATTAGTCACCAGAGAATAAAGTTAGATGCATGGGAAGAAGATGACCATTAATTCATTCATCCCAGTCTGAACTGAACAAGAAAGTGGAGTTTGATAAAATAGGAATCTATGTGTAATGCCTGTGTGTTTATTCTGAAGTATAGAATAAAGGAAGTATAGCAGTTCAGAAGCATAAGGCCATTGGTTACCTTACATAGTAAATGATTCACCTTGGACCCAGGAGGATGGGTCTGGAGGGAGACCTATGTTCAAAACTGAAAATAGTAAAGCTTGGCTCTATGGCTCCACAATTTATTCATCTAGTGACCTTTTGCAAGACACAAACTATCTGCTTTCTCATTCTGATGATAATGTAGCTGCTGCCTGTCTTGCAGACATATGAAAAGCATAAATTAGATAAGGGTAAAAGAACACATAATTTTTCAGGAAGTGTTATTCTACGTTATTATTATTATTGTTATTGTTATCATTATTATTTTGACCCTTGGAAATCTTATCCCAATTCTATGGAAAACTACAGAGGGTCAGCGTTAGAAAATCTCACCAAAGATTTCATAGTTATGTAACTAGGGCAGTTTAGAATGAAACCTTCATCTTGAGACCTCAGGACAACCATAAAAAGGCAGGTCAAAGCACATTACCTGCTGCTTTCTTCAGCAGCACACATACTAAAATTAAAACAGTACAGAGAAGACAAACAGAGCCCAGATCAGGATGATACATACGTTTGTGAAGTATTTTCCATTTTTTAGACATAGATATATAGGATATTTCATTTCTATTAATGACATTTATTGAGGCAGATATGGATAAACATGT